AAAAAGGGAGGATGTGATTAGGAGATGTGATTCCAAGAAAACTGAAGGAACAGTCAGCACCTTTTACCACTTAAGATGTGGTCAGCCATGTCGAGAGCTGAGGGCAGACTAAGACAGAGTATAAAGCAAGCAGCCCTGCCTTTCTTACTGCATAGTCTGAGTTTCTTTTCTCATACTCTAGTGATGGAAAGCCAAGCAAAAGTACTGACCATGCAGGGAAGTAACAAAGCAGCTTCCTGCTCCAATGTATAGATCAGAACAGGAAAAAAAAAATTAAACCAAATACAGAAGTGCAAATCAGACTATGTAGAGGGCCAGCACCACCAGGCTACTCTCCTTCCCAATTGGCTTTCTCTACACTGTACATCTTAATCCAGTTTGGAAGATGTGAAAGCCTCGGCAGCCCATGTGGAATGCTACACTCCTCAATACGCTCTCCGTCCACTACCCCCTGGCACCCCTTCAAGCAGATTCTTTGAAGGAAACTGTGTGAAACCCCCACAGGCTGGCATGGGCAATGTGTGTATGTGTTGGGCATCCTCCAACTGCACTACAGGAGTCTGAGACTCAAAACCTGTAGGGGAAAAGTTTCATCAGCTTTTGTTTTGTGTGCTGTGACAACCTCAGTCCTTGTTAATGGGTCTGATAGCACTTCAGGTAGTAAATTCTGAGCCTACATAACTACTTGCAATGGGTTACACAACTGAGTTATGTGATATAGAAATATCTCCCTTCTGTAACTTTGAAACAGACACTTGTCAAGATTCACTAACTTCCCAGAGTCCTTGTGGGGCAAGGTGAGAAAAACAAAGCTCTAGTCTAACTGCTTTATGCAGTCCTTCACTTTCTCATCTTCCCTTCTTGACTTCTCCCTTTTCCCGAAAACAGTCCCTAAGTTTTCCATGTATAGTCCTATTGGTTTTTATATCCTCTACTGACACTTATTCCTGCCCATCTTTCCTCACTCGTTTTGGCTGTTGGTGGAGTACTGCAGGTGCTCCCTTAACACTGCTTCCTGCTGCTTCTTTTTAGATGACCTTACTTGTATTTGCCCTTCCTTCCGCTATTTGGCTCATCCCTCCCCTCTCACAAGTCTACACTGCACATCACAGGGCAAGAGCATGTGCCAATGTGGTAAAGCACCTCTGCTTTTTTGTGTTCCTCCTTCTTCCCCAGCAAACAGTAAAACACATATAGACCCTACAACAGCTGAGGCCCTGAAATGTAGCTTTTTTCACACCCATATTCGTCTGGGAATACTTAGCGAACTCCACACTTACTCTAAAATTGTTAATGTGAGGAATGTGTTATTCTCATGCTGTGACCCACATGCATGAACACATACCAGCTCTCTGAGATGAGGGGTATCAATATTTCTTGACATTTGCTTCCCACTCTGCCTGTTACTAAAACAAAGCAGGGAAAAACTACTACCACTGAATGTTTTCAGGACAGATCTGTTACACCTATTTCTACGTGAGTACCTGGAAATATATTATGAATGAATGAATAAAAACTTGCTTTGTCAGGCTGTAAGGATGAGGGAGGGGAAAACTCTTCCGTAGATAATCATAGGCCTTAATATGGTAGAGGTGGAGAATACAAGCAAATTGCCTCATTTCTGGTGAGTATTCTGCCATCTGCCTCCAGCTGTGCAACTCACAAGGCAAATCTGCTTAAAAAAAACAAGAGGTCAGCTTTAGTGAAGCAAATAAAGAGCTGATAACAGAGGGATGCATAATACAAACACATTGCAGAATACAAGGCATCAGGGCAGCCTCTGGAACCACTCAGTCCTGTAGTCTGGTGTGACGTGTACAGCGCAGCAATACTATAACTGTGCCCCACCTCTTCCTAGGGACAGGCAGTGGCCAGGGAGGATGTGCCCTACCATGCTCTCTGAGGCTGAGTCCCCAGCACATCTTTCCCCTCTTTTCCCATCTGATGTGTTCCACAGTTTTGAATAACTGCCTGTGTCTTACATGTGGGTGCTGCTTAAAAATTGACATAACAGAGAGAAGACATTAACTTATGGTTGACTCTGTAATTTGAAATGGCTTCTTCAGGTTATATTATTGTTAACAGAGCTCGCTTCTGGACAGTGCAAAAGACAAGGTTTTCCTAGTTAAATATATTCTTGAGTCATCCGTCAGCTGAATGGTGGCACGGTTTGATTTAACAGCATTGGTTACAGGTCTGACCTGAGCACTGTAGCCAGCCTCAAGTAATTGAATTTTTCAGGGAGATTTTAATTCTTTGCAGGATTGGTTGCTGCATTCCGGACCTACAAATCACAAAGCCTTTGCGCTATAGCATTGGACCTAGGAGTCTATCAGGGATTACCAATACCATAAAGTCAAACAAATACATAAAACCGGGGCGAGGGAGTACACACCCTGAAGCCCTCTGCCTTGGCAAACGCTCCCAGCAGTACCTGAAAACTGGGCCTGCAGCAAACTCACGGTTTCCTCAGAAAGCTGCTGCTTCTCCGCCAGCTCCCGGAGGATGTTTGCCACCGTTCTGGGCCGGTGCGCGGGGGAGCATCTCCTGACCCCGAGGAGCTGCTGCTGCGGGGTCTCCAGCGGCGGGCGGGCCCCCCCCCCCCCCGGCCGCCGGCCCCTCCAGCTGGGGGG